TGCTGTGTCATCCATCTCTACACCTTGTTATCTCAGATTCTCCAGCATCTGCAGTTCCTACTATCTCTCACCCATTCTTGCCACAGGAATTGGAATCATAGAATTCCTACAGAGTGAAAGCAAGCCATTTGGCCCATCTAGCCCAAATTGACCCTCCAAAGAGCATCCCAACCAGACTCACCCCCCAGCCTATCCCTGTAACCCAACATTTCCAATGGCTAAATCAACCTAGCATGAACATCCCTGAGCACCGTGGGCAATTTAGCATGGTCAATCCACTTAACCTGCACATCTTTGGACTGTGGGAGGAAACGCGAGCACCCAGAGGAAACCCACGCTGACACAGGGAGAACGTGCAAACTCCACATAGACCGTTGCTCGACAGTAGAATTGAACCCAGGTCCCTGGCACATAGAAGCAGCCTTTTGTGACATCCTGTGCACTTCTGGCTAAGTTCACCAGACCTATGTCACCCCTAGTCCTGCCCTCAACCTGTGGAGTCTTTCTGGTAGCTCCTGTTTTATTTGTTTATAAATTGCAGCATTTGCTATTGATGATTTTGTCTTTTTGATAGGGAATCTGTGTGGCTAAGAGCCTCTCAACACGGCTTTCTTCTCTTTTAAATGAAACTATAATCAAGTTAAACAGATCCAGATGGGGCACTATAACAAAAACACAAACTAACGGTTAACAGAAACTTATAAAAGGCAGCCACTGGTGTTAATTACCCAACAAATCTGAAACTTAAAGGGGACTGAGCTAGAAGTTGCTCTATGGGCAACCACCTTCTGAGATCAGTTCTAGTAAAATGCTTCAAATAGTCTTACCAATCTGGTTGAATGCGTTCCTGGAGTGGTTGGCCTTGTGAAATAAATAAGATTTTTTTTGTGTGTAGATGGGGAGAGTGGAACAGATAGGGAACAAATATGGAATTAGGTCACAAATCAACCATTGATTGATAGAACAGGTTTGAGGGACTGATTTGCCTCTCCCATGTGTATGTTCCTACAAACATATGCATTAGGATCAGGATTAGGCCATTTGACTCCAAAAGTTACTAATGCAATAAAAATAAAAGGATCCCCATTTTCTGTTGTGGGTGACCTCCAGTTGGCGATAAGTTTAATTCTGCTTGTTCCTTTCCCTTTCAAATCAATGGATTAAAAATAGCTTCAGATAGAAAACCTGCAGCCAATTTGTGAACCATCCATTTTGTGAGATCATCCAACAAGATTAATTTCAGTTCCTCATTCTGTCGTTTAGACCACGTGGTCTGTGATGGCGATCATAAGATAAGATTGTCACGTTGGCTATGACGCCCGGCACACTTTGTCTGAGATGCACAGGATGTCACAGAGGCAATACTGAGGTGAGTTACAATACAAAGGTAGTTATGTTCATGTAGAAGAAAATAAAGAATTTTAAAGTCAAGGCAAAAATCTATGAAATGAAGAGTGGATATCAATAAATAAACAGGTGCTTGGCTCAGTCAGATTGCTGCCCAGGGGCCGGTAGTGAATACTAAGATCTACCCTGTAGATTTTCATGACTTTACGGGCAATGTGTCCTTACTTGAGCTCAGTTTTATCGATGAAGCCACTGCCATCCTGATCCAGAATTGCAAAGACTTTCTTCACCTCCTCTGTGGATTTCTTGGACAGACCACATGCTTCGAAGAACTTCTTGAAGTCAAATGACTCAGGAGCTGTGATGGGAAAAGACACACATTGAGGACTTGAGGAGGAACATTGAGAACGGCCTCCAGTCTTTATGCAGCAGTATTACAACTTTGATCCCCAGCTGAGTGGCAAATTCAGATGGGCCACAAAGAATCCTCAAGTTCTTCACAATTATAGTGCTGCTGTGTGATACTATTAAAGAGTTACTGTCTTCACTAAAATAGCAAGCAAATGAATTTCATCCCAATGTTAATATGATCATTGCTGATATTGCACATTCTGATTTGAACCCTCAGGACTTCTGTCACAATTTTACACTGAGGTGGATTTGGCAACGCATGCTACATTGAAATATAACAATACCAGACCTTTGAGAAATCCACTATTATACCAGGAGATTTTAATTACACTGACTTTGCACTATTGTGTACTGCAGTATAACTGCAATCAGCAAGCAGGCGGCATTTTTAAGGTCTGAAATTATGATTTACATCAAAAGCGTTGCAACATCTTTAATTTTCCAACCATAGAAATCTTCTGTAAATGCTTTATTTTCAAACATTTCTGATGGCCTCACCATTAACAGCAAGCCTTACATCAACTTGTGCAGCTCTACTTTATCTGATTTGAGAGAATTGCATAGAATTACATAGAATGAGCAGAAGGAAATATGCCAGTTGACCCAACTGATCCATGCCTGCATTTATGCCTACACAAGTCTTCTCCTGCCTCTCTTCAGTTCTTCCTATCATCATATTCTTCTATTCCTTTCTCCCCCATGCATTTATTTAGTTTTCCCTTATCTTTGTTATTTGTCTCAAACCGTCCCTGTGGTGGTGAACTCTTCATTCTAACCACTGTCTGTGTAAAACACTTCTTCTACATTCCCCTGTGGATTTATTAGTGCTTGTTGTATTAGTGGCTATGAAATTTCATAGGATCAGGAATGTTGTTATTTCAGACATACATGAGTTCGGGACAAGTTTGGAACATTCCAAACATCACTGCATTGGCAGCAATATCACAACTGCCTGGTGGAGTGGACAGTGAAGAAGATTATCTCAGAGTACAACAGAGCTTTGATCAGATGGTCAATGGGCTGAGGAGTGGCAGATGGAGTTTAATTTAGATAAATGTGAGGTGCTGCATTTTGGTAAGGCAAGCCAGGGCAGGACTATTAGAGTTAATGGTAAGGTTCTGTGGAGTGTTGCTATTCAAAGAGACCTAGTGGTGCAGGTGCATAGTTCTTTGGAAGTGGAGTCAGAGGTAGACAAGGTGATGGAGAAGGAGTTTAGCACAGTTGCTTTCATTGGTCAGTGCATTGAGTATAGGGGTCAGGCCATCATGTTGCAGCAGTACAGAACATTTTTAGGTCACTTTCAGAATACTGTGTACAATTCTGGCAGCCTTTCTATAGAAAGGATGTTGTTAAACTTGAGAGGGTGCAGAAAAGATTTGCAAGGATGTTACTGGGACTGGAGGGTTTGAGTTATAGGGAGAGGCTGAATAGGCTGGGGCTGTTCTCCCTGGAGCGTTGGATGCTGAGGCGTGACCTTATAGATGTTTATAAACTTATGAGGGGCATGGATAGGGTGAATAGCCAAGGTCTTTTGCCTATGGTAGGGGAGTCCAGAACTAGAGGGCATAGGTTTAAGGTGAGAGGGGAAAGATTGAAGGAGGACCTGAGGGGTAACTTTTTCACACAGAATGTATTGCGTGTATAGAATGAGCTGTCAGAGGAAGTGGTGGAGGCAGGTACAATAGCAACACTTAAAAGGGATCTCGATGGGTATATGAATGGGAAGGATTTAGAGGGATATGGGCCAAATGCTCATAAATGGGATTAGATCAAATTGGGAACAAAAACAAAGTTGCTGGAAATGCTCAGCGGGTCTGGCAGCATCTGTGGAGGAGAAAACAGAGTTAACGTTTCGGGTCTGGTGACCCTTCCTCAGATCAAATTGGGATGCCTGGTTGGCACAGACAACAGGGTCTGTTTCTGTGCTGTGTGACTCTATGACAGATGACAGCCCTTCAGCTACTTCAGCTTCCCTCCTCCCACCAAAACCAATGGTGCAGAGGATAAATTACACTTTTGCTGCAGTGGGCAGCTACTTAGCAAATTCTAGCAAAAATGTCTGTTTGAACTCGGTCAATGTTAATCCCATTGAATCCATTAGAATTTATACTCTATTGGTTTCTAACTAGAGTATCAGAGTGAAAGGGATTACATATCTCAACAGTGGGAGAAATAAATGATTTGCATTTATCTATCATTTTTCACAACCTCAGAGTATCCCAAAGTGCTTTGGAGCCAATTAGGTTCTTTCGAAGTCATTACGTTAATGTAGAAATGTGGTGGCCAATTTGTACTCAACAATGAGATCATCTGTTTTAGTGATGGCTGAATATTGTTCCCAAGACATTGGGGAGACCTATCCTTTTCTTCAAAGCACCAGCCATAATGTTTATTATATCTAACTGAGTGGGTAGATGGGGTCCTCAGTTTAGATCTTATCTGAATGACAACACTTCTGTGAATACAGAATGCCCACCATACTGCACTGGAATGTGAAACCTGATTATGCATTCAAATCTTCAACCAATGACCTTCAATTTATAAATGAGAATGCTACCACTGAGCCAGAGTTGACACCATTGGAAGACAATTCCTGCAATGTGCTCTGTAGCAGTAATGCTAAGTGTCTTCTTTGAGAAACAAATTAGTTCTTTCCTCCAGAGTTACTTTCCAACAAGCACCAAGACATTGCTCAGCTGGTGGTGAGAAAGACACTACTGGTGAGATCCTTCTTGTAAGACTGGTCTGTTTGTACCACCACACACCTCCCTTGAAGCAGCTGCTGGGGATAGAGATTGTCACACATCTCCTTCTGGAATGAGCTTTTGCAAGGGAAGTCTGGAGAAAGATGCAGTGGTTTTTTTGTCGAAGTTTGTCCCAATCAGCTCCATGACGCAGGACTCTGCGCGCTACAGTCTGTTCCCTGGGACACACACTGAGACAAACATTGACTGTGCACAGAGGACCATCAACTCATGAAAGACGCTCTTTTTTCTGCCTGAAACTTGTTGGTCTTCCAGAACAGGGAATTGAACCTGACCGAGGGTTGCAGACTGGCACATTCCAGGGACCACGACTATGTGCTGTGGGACGCAGTAAAGCTAGGGTCAGCTGCCATGAAGGCAAAGTAGGGAAAGACCACTGTCTGAGGCCCTTCTGTCAAAGTTAAATTGGGGCCCGTTCAGTTATCGGACTGTCCCGGTGTCTCAAATGCATGTAAATATAGTCTGGTTCAAGTCAGAGACGCCTTTGGTTTGTTTGAATAGAGTCAAACTCCAATATTTGTTTGTTTCTTTGGTATGCTACTGAACAGAACAGAACTACGTTTGTGACTATGTATATATAAAGATATCTTTTATGGATAAAGTATATTTTTGAAATTAAAAAAAACTAATCATTTCCCCCTTGCCCATTTTACTATCTAGACTCCTGTTTTAAGAAGTAATGCAATAGTCTCAGATTCTGATCATTATTTATTTATCTAAAATCCCTGTAACGTTCCTGCTTTTTTTTTGCAGTTTAAACCATGGAAAATGAAAACATTACCTTTGCATTGTAAGATTGCAGAGTTAATGTCACCAGCTCCCAGGACATCAGTGATTTTCATGGTAAAACTATCAGAGATAAATAAAACTGAAATGTCATGTAAATTTTTAAACTCAGGTGTTACAGCTGGGAAAAACAGAATTTTTTTGCAAACATACACTATTTCACAAAATCTTATTCACAAAGAATACACAGTATGAAGCTGGAGGAACACAGCAGGCCAGGCAGCATCAGAGGAGCAGGAAAGTTGACATTTTGGTTTGGGACCTTTCTTCAGAAACGGGGAAGGGGAAGGGAGCTCAGAAATAAGTAGAGTTAGGAGGGGTGGGGCTGGGGAAGGTAGGTGGGATGGCGATAGGTGAGTGCAGGTAGGGAGTGGTGGGGATTGGTCAGTGAGGTGGGAGGGGTGGATAGGTGGGAGAGAAGATGGACAGGTTGTGCCAGGTCAAGGAGGTGGGGATGAGAGGGAGGGTTGGTCATGGGATGAGGCCGGGGTGGGGAGTGGGGAGATTTTAAAACTGCTGAAATCCATGTTTAGACCATTGGGCTGTAGGCTCCCAAGGCGGAATATGAAGTGCTGCTCCTCCAGATTGCGGGTGGCGTCTTTGTGACACTGGAGGAGGCCCAGGATGGACATGTCGTCCAGGGACTGGGAGGGGGAGTTAAAATGGTTCGCAACCAGAAGTGTTGTTATTTGTCACGAACAGAGCGCAGTTGCTATACAAAGCGATCTCTGAGTCTCTGCTTGGTCTCACTGATGTAGAGGAGGCCACATCGGGATGCAGTAGACCAAGTATTGATAAAGTAATGTTTTATTTTTCTTGGAGCAGAATTTGAGTAAAAGGACAGTTTAATTGTACCTGATAGCTGAATGGGAGGAGGAGTAACTGACACATATAGGTGTTTATACACCTGAGTGGAATTGCTATTTATTCCTAGAAAACATTATTTAAAACAAAACCTTACCTGGTTACGGCCCTTATAGGTTACAGATCTCCTCACAGGACCACAGAATAAAACCTAATAAATAAGCATGTAATTGTGCCTTGTTGTCGTAAAGTCGTATAACGTAAAAGGTACTCAGTCTCACAAAGTGTATGAGGCTCTGAAATACGATGTAAGGTTTATAGTTGTTATATCTTCACACTATTTCATAGGAGAAGTAGTGGATAGATTGGAAGGTTGATTAATAGTTTGACAAACCTGGCATAAACTCTCATACTGTGGTCTGAACTATCATAATCCCAGGGGGAAGGATTTTAGGGTTCCTGAAACCCACATGATGAAGTAGCAGGAGCTGATGGGGAGATGGAGTGAGGCAGGGACATTCACACCCATAGAATTTCAGCCCTGTATTCAGAGTCAAAGTTGCATTTTCCATTCACAGGGTCTGCTGAACAGGATATTAATGATAAATTGTTGATGTAAGGGTGGAAATACTCCAAGGCTGGCTTCAGACCTCCAGTTCCTAAATCTGATAGAGGGTCACTTTCTGATCTGCTCTGATGCCAAAAGAGAGAAAAAGTCTAGGACCACTCACCTAACTTTGATCCTTTTTCCACAGCGACAGCAAATGTCGAGGCAGATTGAGCAAAGCTGAGTAGTATCTGCAGTTTTCCTGCTCCTTTATATATCATTCATTCTGCATAGCACAGGCAGATTTCAGTGTTATGGCTCATTTACAAAAGGGCGGAGACTATGTCAAACGAAAGCTGGCTTGTTCTCATCATTTTTCTTGGGAACCACCAAAAATATGTTTCCCCTGTTACGTGTGAGAGAGGGAGAATGTGGAAAGTGATTAGCAGTGCTGCAGGTGAGGGATGATGGTGCTGGTTGATGAGTGATGGCTGATCTCTCTGGGTTCCCACCAACCCTCTCCCTTCAGTACTTTCATTTCCTTTCACCATGACCTGATATGCTGTGTGGTCACCTTTAGGTAGATGGCCAAGAACAGCAGGGGCGGCACTGTGTTTATGACATGCTTCCCATCCCAGCTCCATCTGGAGCAGTTCCATTACTTTGCTATGAACATTTAGCCATTTTTAGACTCCATCAGATAACTTACTAATGGCTTTGAGCAGTGTTACACGGCTGTGATGTACACCTTGTAGCTCAGCAAACAAGCTGGGGCTCTTGTTTCTAGACAAGAGGTAGGCTGAGGGATGACCTGAAAAAGACCTTTAAAAATGCAAAGACCGATAGGATAGCTGCAGGATGATATTTCCACTTGTGGGGCAACTTGTGACCATAATTATAAGATAGACACTAACAATTCAATAGAGACCTCAAGAGGAACTTCTTTACAACATTCATTGATAACATTGATCATGTGTTCTGGTAATTAAATTTGGCAAAGGGTATTTGAGACATAGAATGTAGATACTGGTGTAAACTGGCAACCTTACATTGAAGAGAATGTGAAATTTCTCCCCATTGCCAGGAATAGAATAGTTTCATTCCTGCCAGTTTCCAAGTTTACCATGGCTGGTTTTGGTAACAGATGGGATGGTGTCCCTTACCCCACTAGGTGCATAAATTGGGTATGCCGTAAAGTTCATATCAACCTGAGCCCAAGTGTGCAGACCATCATGGGCAGCGGGTGGTGAAGGATGGAGAGACACTCCAAGTACATGAAATTAATTTCCATTGCAGAGTTGTGGAGGGTGGGGATGTGTGGCTCATTTGCCTCCAGCATCCCTCTTTCCAACCTTATCCCCGTTTTTCTTGTGAAATCCTTTCTTGCTGGCAGCTGCCCAGTATACTGTGGGAACTCAGATGACAACATTACACTGAGTCTAAGGAGTTAAAATAAACTGGTACCAAAATGTAGACCAACTCGTTTGGCATTTACACTCTGTTCAGGATTAAAATTAATGCTGTAGCCTTTGGGAAGATTGAATATTGTAGACACTTATATGATTGACCTATCATCTCTGTGCTTGCTGACCTACATTTGTTCTACATTGGCAGCAATGCAACTTAGTTCCTAAGCTCTGGAATTCCAAATCTACTCCTCTCCACCATGCTCTCCTTTAAGATGCTTCTTTAAATCAACCCCTTTGACTGGGTTTTAGGCAACAGGGAACAGGGTCAGATCAAAAGAAAAATGAAAGGTGATTTTGCATGCTTATCAATTCACAAGTTGCTGTGGTATTCAGGAGAAAGAGAAGCCAAATCCAAATACCTAGACAAAATATTCTTCCTTCGCGTATTGGATGCTGGAGGGAAGGCTCTTTTTTGTATTCATTCATGAGATGCGGGTATCACTGGTTCAGCCAGCGTTTGGTGCCCATCCCCAGTGGTCCTTGAGAAGGTGGTAGTGAGCTTGAATACAACATGTGGTCAATCTAACCCCAAACCATTTCCTGGCTCCAAGAAAAGCAAGTTAATTACTGTTGTGCCTTTTATGACCTTTAGGATGTTGCAAAGCGCATTATTGTCAATTAATTACTTTCGAAGTGAGAAATTATGCATACCAAGAACCCACAAAATCAACATGATAATGCTTAAAGCATCCAACTTTGAGCTTGTTGGGTGAGAGAATAAATATTGGCTGGTACACCAAGGAGAACATACGTGCTGTTGTTTCTCTATGATCTTTTACATTCCCTTGTGAGGGCACCAGGTTAAGTTCTCATTTAAAAGACTGCACCTGACACTGAAGGACACTCTCAGTTCTGTGCTCACAATGTTGCCATGGAAGAAGACTTGAATTCAGAGTGGTGAGAAACTGAGCCACAACTGGCACCAGAATTAGTGCTGACCACTCTGTCCTCTTTCTCCCCAGTGGCCTGTGATTTACAGTATTTACCAGAATCAGTATTCCAGACTCTGGGGACTGGGAGCTGAGTGCCTCCTGCAGGATGTGCTGCTGAATTACCAGCTGCCTCAGCCTCATCGGCCTGACACTTTAGATATTTTTAATCAACCATGCTATTACACACCTCTAGAACAGGTGGGACTTGAACCTGAGCCTCCTTGCTCAGAGGCAAAGACACTACCACTGTACCACAAGAGGATTAATGAGGTGGGGAAGAGGACGCTGGAGGCAATTGGACAGTATGCACCAAAACAGCCTGGATTATTTACCATTGTGCAAGACAACAAACATGATGGAGACTGATTAAGAATTTTCTTTACAATTATTATTTATCAGATTAACGGTTAACTATTTCAATGTGTGGGAATCTGACATTAAAGAGCACCGTGATGTGTTTGATTTCTTCAAGGGGCTATACAATTCCACTTGAGCTCTCATACCCTGAGGTCGAAAATATATTGTCAGTATGCTCAGTTTTCAGATTAGCCATGATCCTTTTGAAAGGTGGAGCAGACTAGAAGGGCTGAATGGCCTACTCCTATGCCCAATACTTGTGGTCTTATGGTTATAGATTAAGTAAAGTTAGCTACAAAACACAGGAGAACTTAAGTAACAACATACATCATTGACTTGGTTTGATACTGAAACATTATAACAGTCACAGAACAGGCCATTCAGCCCCTTGAACCTGTTATGCCACTGTTTTGAGAACAAACTTGCAATGAAACAGCCCCTTTCATGGTTTCAGCAGATGCCAAAACTTTTCTTAATCAATTTAATACTTTCAAAGTCCAGTTGCTGTTTCCATGTGGGAAACGTGACCGGCCTTTGCATCCAGCATGATCCCACAGGCGACATTGAGCTCAAGCATTAAGTGGTCAGTGTGAGGGCTTCTCCTGCTGATCAGGACAGCAGCTGGGAATGCATACGCATGTGGGCCGTGGTAATGTCACAGATGGATTACCTCAGCACAAACTGCGAGTTATCTCTGTACAGGGGCCACGCCTTGCATGTTGATGAGGACAGGCAGGGGCATTGTGTCTAAGTACACAGGGCCCTCGGCTAATATATGAGGCTCATGTCCCGTTTGTGCAGCTCCCCCTCCCGGGGAGCCCCATCATTGTCCACTGGGGTAGGTTATGGATAGATCAGAGAGGAGGGGACAGTGGAACTGTACACCTGAGATCCCCAAGATCCTGATCCAGGATCCTAAGGTTTCTAACCAGAGCCTGTGTGGAGCATGCCATGATCTCCTCCCGGTTCCTCCATCAGCTTTGACAGTGATGGATTAG